TTCACCCCAACCATCCTACAGGACGTGTCAAGCACTTGCTTTTACCCCGTGATAAATCATTGTTCATTGTTCAACCACTATCTCAGCCTTTCACGACCACAAGGACCGTGCACGCTGTGCCCTCCTGCAATGACCAACTGCCTCCTAGAGCCGGTATGGACGAGATAGTGGGTAATAGACAGGTAGGCACCTTGTCAACATGCACATCAAACGCAGCCAATCAGGGGATGTGGAACAACAGCCAATCACTTGAAATGGCCCTATCAAGTGAAATATATCTAGACTGCAGTTTCAGCCTGTTGGGCATCATCAGTAGTGCGCATCCATCGGATCCATCAGGATTCGAACCCATGACCACCAGCGGCTTGAACCGCCAGTCAGCAGCTTATGCCACTGGGCCACGGGGGACAGCTTCCGACCGTCATGATTTGCAAGTTAACTGCGATATAGCAGTGGCATAAGCTGCTGACTGGCGATTCAAGCCGCTGGTGGTCATGGGTTCGAATCCTGATGGATCCGATGGATGCGCACTACTGATGATGCCCAACAGGCTGGAACTGCAGTCTTGTGCTTTTCTGGGCATGTGGACGACTATCTGATTTGGAAACTGGCTGCGAAGAACCTCACTTGACTACATCAAAAATCCCCTACTCATGAGTACATCGAAATATACCTGCCCTGACAGTTTCTAAGATGCTATGTCGTACATAGCTACTGTTAGTGGACGTCGTGTCTTTCGGGGCCAACCCTGTCCTCTGCAACGTTTGTAACTTGCATGGCAGTGGAGGATAAGACGCGCTTTATCGCAGTTAGCTTGCAAATCATAACGGTCCGAAGCTGTCCCCCGTGGCCCAGTGGCATAAGCTGCTGACTGGCGGTTCAAGCCGCTGGTGGTCATGGGTTCGAATCCTGATGGATCGGATGGATGCGCACTACTGATGATGCCCAACAGGCTGAAACTGCAGTCTAGTGCTTTTCCGGGCATGTGGACGACTATGTGATTTGGAAACTGGCTGCGATGAACCTCACTTAATTACATCAAAAATCCCCTACTCATGAGTACATTGAAATATATCTGTTAAAGAATACGGCAATGCAGACATGATTTTTCCCCGAATTAGCATGCAAAGTTGGTTAGCAAAGAATCCGCGATAAGTACAAAATGTACAGAACTCACTTTAAAAATGCTACAAACACAATATACTTAACGAAGATAACCACAACTTGGGTAAGGAACGTTGCCAGTTAATAGGACATTATTCAGGTAGGCAGAACAAACCAAATAAAGGGGAATGAAAGTTATCCAGTTTAAGTGTAAGTTGGTTTAGCCCAGCTGTGGTGAAGAAGCATCATGAATGCAACATCTGCCTCAGCATAAGTCACTTTAATTCCACATAATGGGGAACAAAACGACAGGCCACATGAACCAAATCTTTTAATGGATGAGCCGCACTAAGAACAGTGCAACATTGTCAGGTCACTTATGTAGTGTGGAGTAATGTGAGCACAGGGGATAAATATTGAAACTTCCTGGAGTGCACGGATAACGCATCGGGCATTACTATGTGAAGCGAAAGTGTTTGTTCTAAATTTAGATAATAGGTCAATGTGTACGGTTGAATGTAGGTCAGCCACATTCCTGAAGTGCAAACTAAACACATAATTAATCTAACATCAGAAACCTAATATGCACTGCGCCAGAGCACCAAAGGGGTTTGGGACAAGGAAACGAGTTGGGTGAACGGTAGTTGGAGTCAAAGTCAAGGAAACATTGAGCCGGATAAAGTCATCACAGGATAGGGCATGTGGGATTCTACTACACTACTTTTATGGTCAAAAAAGCGGGCCATGAATGCGGATGAGTGCACTTTTATCGGCATCAAAATGGAAGACTGACGGCTAAAGCGGCTTTCCAGGTCAAAGTTGAACTCTTCTTACGTCAACGCCTGTTTCAACTACGGACACGGCTACAGATTTACAGCCTTGAACGATAAGGGAAGCCGATTAGTGTGTCGATTGTACCAGGGTCGCTAGCCATTTTTACATTCCGGTTGCAGTGTGCTACTTTTGAGTATGATTGGATTAGCGAATTTAGCACGGCATTCAGTCTACGTGTCTTATTAGCGGTGGCGCTATTAGTATAAGTCGCTACTAGGAGAGTAGTTATACCTTGGTGAATTGTTACGTGCATGAAATATTTTTGATCAGTTTGTGGTTTAAGCAACATCGTTAGGCTGACCAATCCCATCAAACGTGGGCTAGTTAATGAAGTAGACGGAATTGGTTACCACCAGCACAAGAGCGACGTCGTGGCGTGGCTACACGGTAGCCAAGCTAACCTATATGATAACTAAGCAAAGCATGCCACGACAGCGATCAAGCTCTGCATCGGTGTTCTGAAATGAATTAGCTGGGGATTGCATTGGAGTCATTGTGAGGAGGTTTCGAGTATTTTCCGGTAGACTAAAGCAGCCAGATTTCACATAGCAGTGATTTGTCCGTCATTAATGTGCTGTACCTCAACCGAAATGGCAACGTGCTTACCGTCACCCGGCTACATCCCTCGAAGGCTGTGGCAGGTGAGTTATTTCCGAAGACGTAACTCTGCTGATGACTGCTTGTTTGAATGTGTCATAGGGATGCTTTACAACACGGTTCATTAACGCACATTAATCAACTGCAGAATGACATCTGTGGTTAGGCAGGTTAGCAAATAACTGAACTTAATGCGATTTGTAGTAATCCTGTGGCGCACATTTTCGGTCGCCGAAAGAATAAACAGAAAATACGTTGTTATTTCTAAAACGGGTGACTCGTGAGGTGGTTACATCGAGTGAAGTGTCCAAATGTGTAGTATATAAGGCGCAGGAAAAAAATATCACTAATTGGCCGCAAAATGATGGAATCACACAAAAGTATTCTTTGTTTTCACCCGAATCAGGGAATAAGAATGGCTATAACGAGCTTTGACCCCGTGTAACCCACGGTGAAGGACGCCTCAGCTACTAGCCATCAGCGGTAGCACGCGAACGGCTCACTAAACACGAGCTAGTGTTGTTATGAACGGCTGCAACCAACGTATATTTAACAAGCTGCAAGTAACCGAGAAACGGCAAACAGCATTGCAACGTACAACTCATCGAGAAGGACTAAGTGATAGGGAGTGCCATCCATTAAAACAAGTAGACACTTAGAGAATTGATGTACCAAGTGCAAGGTCACAACATGGTGAAAGAGTAAGCGCTTGCCGGTTTGCTACCTGGGTTACATATTATCCGCGCCTTCGGCAGCTCTCATCGCATCTAATAATAACAATAGTGACACTATAACGTAAATTTCCCAGATGTGAGAAATTGTGTCTGAAGCGTCACAGATCAATTTGTGCGAAAACATCCACGCCCTTGCATGGGCGATACGCGTAGGTGGAATATTGGGGTATACGTTTCAGGTAGTTACCTACTTGTGGATGGTTGAGACGAAAGCCTAGTTTTGGTAAAACTGATGTTTAGACGATTTTGGGCCCCACTTGCAGGAGCTCATCGAGAGAGGTTTCCCATGTGAATATAATGATTATGGTAATTATTTCAAGGTAATTGGAGAGTTTATTCCTAAATGTTGCCACATGATCACATAACCTGAGACTGATTGTTTGTTTATTTCCGATAGCTAAACCTGACCAGGAAGAAATTAGAGCGAACGTTCGTTCTAGCCTTTCATATATCCAGTATAAAATGGTTATTGCGAAGCTCTAGAGTTGAGCTATGTTATAGTTTGAGTGTAGGCAGATCGTAATAGTTCTTTTTGGGTAGCAGGTTGAAAAGCGGCAACAATCATCGAATCCAGTGTTTCGTATTGAAGCTAGTTGTAACGTTCCGGATAACTCATAGTAGAGTTCATAACGATCAAATGTTTGGTACACGAGTTCTGCAGGTGCTCCACAGCAATTCTGTCATTATTTTTCTCATATTGTCGTATCTTATGCTGCAGTATTCGAGGATGGGGAGAGTGAGTAGCTTAAAATCTTCAACTCTAACATACGTTGTGTGGATTTTGTTGGATATATCGAACACAGATTTTATGACATGTTCTAATTGGTATTGGGCCCGTTCGGAGAAATTAAAGGTAGATGCATACCTAATTCCGAAATCAGGCGTGGACAACTGTGTAGGGTGGTGTTCATTGTTTAGGGTGGAGCAGCCGTAAGACGTGATGCTTGATTTCTTATCCCGGAGGTTCATCACCCAAGTATGGCATCATGACTTCATTGAATGCAAATCCTTTTGAATGAGCAGTAGCTTTCCGTGAAGCTCGTCATGCCGAAGCTTATGGACGCTTATGATATTGGTCAGCAAATAAATTTCGCCTTCCATGTTTTACAGATGTGGTGATGTCGTTGATGTAGATCTGAAGCAGTGAAGGACCTAGCACCCTCCCTTGGATGGCCCAATTGATGATGGAACGTGGAGAAAAACGATAGTCACCTAGAGTTACTGCCTTGTGACGACAACTCAGATATGATGACAGCCAACTTAGTAATGAGTCCCGAATCCCAAAGGCCTCCAACCTTTATAACGACCGCTTGTGAGATATTCTGCTGAATGCTGGTGTATGTCCAGAAACAGAATTATTACTACATAGCCGGAATTGACAGATTCTGGAAAGTAGTTCAGGTAGTGCAATTAAAATCGTTCACATGCTATACCGTGAGTGTGGACGCTTCTAGAAAATGAGCTACCAAACCTGCCACTTATTGGTTTAGTTCTTTATGGAAGTGGTGCAAGATCGTGAAGCAGTGAAATAACAGTGTAAGCCACTGGCTGCTTTCGCTCACAGTGAGACGGAGTTGTAGGTTCGACCGGAGACAGATCCATGTGAGAGTTGGTTTGAGCACCATAATGAAGATCTCCAGACAGGTGAGTGTCCGCTTCTACGATAGTATCATAGCAGTGGGGTAAAGTGTTTGTTCATTTGACTGATTTGGTCCTCACATTCTGTTGCAGCTCCCAATCACAACCAAGGATCCTACAAAATTCACCAAACGGTAGCGATTCATCATATCGCAGAAATGCCGTAGGAGAGGATAGCCCGACCCAGTATCCATCACACCGGGATATCTACCATGTGAACGAGCACTACGAAAGCGGTCATGAGCCGTCCAATCTGAACCCTGTACGAGAACAATACCACACTCGTTGGGAAGTACCCAGAACACATGGAACACAACCACCCAGACCCAAATGGAAGGAACCATCGGTTGGTAGAGCTCTCTGTGCCAACTGTTCTGAGTCTGTCTTTGCAAACGAACGTATAGATGCTGTGGGAAAATCATTCCATCGACTTTGCTTCAAATGTGCTAGCTGCCGCCGACTGTTGGATCGCGGAACGGCCTGTGATCACGATTACCAGGTTTACTGTCAAAGTGAGACACCCTGATTTAGTCAAATAAGTGATTACATCTGCATTGTTGAGATGTACTATGCTTCTAAAGGTGGATGCTGCCATATATACTTTTGACACGTATCTAATTTAGCATAGAATATTCACTCAATCAGTAGTGAGCTTTCGGTTGAGCTATCCGATGTGCTTGCACCCCGATATGCACCCTCATTTGATACTATCGGTGAAGTATGCTGAAACTTACCTCGAAAATCTAATCACTGAACTACTACCTGGTGCAAGGGCCTCCAAACTTGCGCTATTCTGCTTATTACTTTGTAAAGTAGGTCATATCGACAAAATTAATCACCTGGGTTGAGACTAGGCATGAAGCGCTGATAAATGAATACATTCTAGTCATCCGGTAAATTACTGTTTAGAGACGTAGAGCATCGCAAATAAGGAGGGTCCACTCAAACGGGATTATACACAAACTATTTATATTATAGCTCATAGTGACAGTTTATGCTGTGTTTTACTGTAATTATTCCTACCATTATTAACCCAGCCAGCGTCAGCGCTGAGTCAGTAAAACGTTGGTCAAATTATATGCATTATAAGGACCATATCCTTCCCATATAAGGAAACAATGGAAAGCGCGGGTTTTGCAACGACAGCATTGGAAGTGGCACCTAACTATAAGTTACAAAATGTATAGAGCTATGGGCAAAGGGTAGTGCCCATTGAGGAAACTCACACTCATGCAGATACACAAAACAGCTCCATCTCCCAACAATAGGTTTCGTTTATTGAAAAAAAGGAAGGCTGGTCCGCACTCCACACCCAGTCAATCAAATTTCACTTAGTGTTTGTATGAAAGGAAGAGTTGTAGTTATCATTTCAGAAAACTTGGTAGGCGACCGGTTAGTGTATTTATGGTGATATGGTCTATCACCATAAATACATTAACCGGTCGTCTACCAAATTTTTTGAAATGATGACTTCCAGATCGGTTCCAAATATGTTCCAAGATAAAGAGTTGTAGTCACCTGATTTATACCTGATTTGTTTGCTACTCCCCTCTGTTAGTCCCGATCGTTTGTCGTATTCATTCATGACAGCAGGTCCATTTAGGAATATAATTCCAAACGCAATGTGAAATTGCCAATGGATATTCCAAAGATCTATATATTGGTTCGGTAAGTAAAGGCTCTCATCTGTGACAACTCACAAACATGCAAAGCGACACTGGATAAATAAGCCCTGGCTGTCAGGCGCTTTGCGCTTTTGTTTGCACCCTCAAAGTACAAAGCTTTCTTCCACGATTGGCAACGACAGCCTCTTGCGCTAACGCTTGGTGAGGATCAGCTCGAAGTCGTTCAAAAATTCAACTACCTGGGAAGTTTTATCAGCACCCGTGGAATCGAAAATGGGATCACGAACCGTATCACAAAAGCTCGAGGCGCTTTTGATAACCTTCGCCACCTGTGGCGCCGGTGCGGTCTCACTCTCGCCCTGAAGGGTAGAGTGTACAATGCAGCGGTACGTTCGACCCTACCCTACTGGTGTGAAACCTAGCCCTTTAGATCAGTGGACATAAAGCGGCTAGTTAGGTTCGACGACCGGTGCCTTCGCAATTTGGCTCACGTCTGGTGGGAACACCTCGCGAGCAACGAGCGTGTTCGATGTCTTGTTTAGGGCACAGTACAAAGAAATAAACTGGTCAGCACCGCCATTTCACGCACCAGGCTCCGATGGCTCGGCCAAGTGTTACGCATACCAACCCACGGACTCCCGTGACGTGCGTTGTTTGCGCGCTGGGGGTGTGGATGGAAGAAGAGGAGAAGTGACCAAGCGATGACTTGGTTGAGAGGAATGAAGGCCCTTACTTCGAAACTGGCCTCAGTTGGAGCGTTTCTGCTCCCTGCTTGGGATCTAAAAGACGATGAACACGTATGGCTGGATATACGCTGATATGGCTAGGAGCCGACCTGTGTGGCGTTCCTGCTGTGAGTTTCTTTGTCCCTCCCCATCCCTTTTAGCCACACCCTCCAACCACGATCTTTTTCTTGATCTGACATAATTTTGCATAATAAATATTTTTTCTGTGCAGTAGCCGAAACGATGCTTATCCGTTACTGGGAACTCAGCTGACATACGTGTTGCATTTTCTTCCTTTTATGTTTTCCAGCAAAGTAGTTGAGGTGTTTTCCACCTTTAACTAAAGTGTATAATGATTATGCTGATGGTAAATAAAAGCTACGCAGCAGTAGTAAAAGCAACCTGGCATTGAATATTTTCTATAAAGTTTGATAATGTTGCGATGCGTCTTTCGGTTGATGTTTTGCCGCTAATAGTGCCAATTCATACTGGGACACCCGGATATCTTGGGTGATTTGTTCCCCGGAGATTATTGGCTATTTTTACCCTTGATATATGGAGAAATAACTCCTTGAAACAATTTGGCGATTAATCATTTTTCCTGGACTTTTCCAAGAAAAACTGTCGGACGAAGATAATGAAAGCCAATTGGCAGTTTGTAGTACAATTCTTCCTGGCCGCGAGTTTACGATAGTGGAGACTTGTACTATAAGATAAATTAGTCAAGCGACTGCGTTTTAACCGTAGGTCTTGCGACGAATTGCCTATTTAGGTTATGAGAATCGTGGGTCAGAACACCTGCTAAAATTCCGTTGCATTCAGAATTCCGAATATTTATTGTTTTTGGAAACTGAAGCCGATAGGCTTCAACGGATATTTGTTATTGGTCTAGGAAGAGAACTTCTGTTTATCTGGAACGGTTATAAACCAGTGCTTTTCGCTAGAATCACTTTGACACACATCTTCTAATTGCATCAATATACCACTTTTACAGGCATCCGATGGATTTAGCCCTTAGTGTTAGCTATTCGCAGTGGTACCAAACCTGAGGCAATTGGAACTAGAACCTTGATAACGTAGTTTACCTGAGTGTATTTCTGCTCATGAATGTCCAATCATAAATAGGTAGAGGGGTTTTCGACTCAAATAGTTGAGTTTGTTTGTACCAGCATCCAGATCAGATAGTCCTCGACATGCCAGGAAAAGCATTGCGCGGCCGTTTGGACCGGTTGGGTCTCGTCACTTGTGCTCATCCATCAGATCCACCACGGTTAAGGCAACTTGAACAGCCTGCCAACAGCTTATGCTACTGAACAATGGGGACAACCGTGGACCGTCATTTTTTACAACCTAACTGCCATATGGCACGTTTCTTGCTCCACAGCTGGCCATGTTACGAACGTCGCAGGGACAGGGTTGAACTTGGTGCCTGGCCCCCAGTTTTATGGCATTGGAGAATGAGACGCTCTATATGGCAGTTAGCTTGCAAATCATGATAATCTGCTGCTATCGCCCATGCTTTAGTGGGATTAGCTGTTGGCTGCTGGTGCAAGTCGAAACTGTTCATAGTTTCGGCTCACGATGGATCCGACGGAGGTGCAAAGATAACGGGACTCACCATGTGAAAACTGCCACACAGTGCTTTTGCGCGCATGTGGAGGGTTATGTGATGTGGAAGGCAAAGCTAAGAAAACCCCAGTTAATAAGTAGACTACCCTTGATCGGTGGAGTAATAATGCCATTCATCGGTTCGATTGTCAACGCGCAAGAGCAGCGACTGACTACTTGAAGGATGTGGGGTGGAGGTTAGAAAATTGAATATATCTCTCCACCATCCTTAGAAGTAGCAGATTTGTTGTTATGCAACCTGCTCTTTCCACAAATTGTATGGAAACAATTAAGGAGAGGACGCAAAATTACCGAATTCAGTATATTCTGTTAAAAGGCGACTTTTGCTGTATTGGAAATTGTGAAGGGAACTGCTTGCATGAGATGTTCAAATACACTCTACCAGTAACCCACTAATATTTTTGCTCTACCGCTTCTTTATCCAATTACTAAGGGACCACTTCCTTTAAGGCTGGATGATATGGGTAACCTTGACGTCGAGTTAACAAGGACATCGTGGAGAGAGAGAGGGCATCTTGGATGCAGCTTCACTCTTCCAAGTCATGAGCTTGAGTCTGCAACTTTTCGGAAGATTGGATTTTGGGGACACCATGGACAAACGTCGATTTTTCATCGGCTTGCTTGCGGTATTATCCTGGGTTTTGCTTCCTTTGCCGACGCACACTACAACGGATGTCATGGAATATGTGTACGCCGCAAGACGAATCACGAAGACGGGTAGCTGACAGGAGGGCGGTATCCGCTTTGTCAATAGACTGAAGTGGCCTTGGTTTGCCATAGTCAACTGAGTTAGGGTGGCGGACGGTGCGAACCAAAATTGACTGTTAGGCCTGGATTCCGATTGGATGGCATATGGATTCTTAGTGTTTCAGCTCGTCCAGTATTTATCTTACATGAAGTTTTGCCTTTGAAACAGGCACGGCAGAGCATAAGAACTACATCGTGTTCTATCTCTTGTTACCGTTGGTAATTTTGGATAAGATTGTTCCTCTTTTTATTGGTGCAACGGGAGGTGGCATTCTCGGAGGCGCATTGATAATCATGTCATGATTAGTCCTTTTGAAGCCCACTTTGTGTGGATGGGTTGCAACGCGCAATCTCAATGTGGACCGCGATACCCATAGAAGTCCTACTGATCGAATGACCAATGTTTACTTCAATGGGAATCGGTTTCCACATTAAGACTAGGCCTGGCAATCCATCCACACGACGTGTAATTCAAAATGAACCTCCAATCAGTTATTGACAGTTGTGCCAAATGTCGTCCGTTGTGACTCGGTGGCTTAGGCGTAGCAGTCACAACTAGCGTACCAGTGATACCGGGATCGATGGTTGCTATCTTTACCTGCTAAGATTTAATAAGTTCGAAACGCGTCATGGAGCACAGTGTTTTCGGGCGGTAAACGCCAAGTTCTAACTCTTTGTTGTAGTTGCGGACGTGCCTTGGATCTACTTGCAACGATTACAAATGTGTATGTTGTCAGACTTTGTGTAGTGTTAGGTAAATCTGAGTACTATAGAGTACAATGTGAC